GGGCAAACACCTGAGCAAAAAAAATTGCGAGTATTTTATTGTCACCCTGTAAATTGTTAACTTCTTAAGCGGTCATGTGGTATATGTGCGTTAGGGCCAAAGTCAATACACGGTGAGAATTACGGACGAATTCGTATTATGTATGGAAATTTTTAAAAATAATTTTGTCAATATATAGATTATTTAATTGCTTTACTTTTTTCGAAATAATAGCGTGCAAAGTGGATTATTTTATCTGTATTTCTCGTAATGTTCAAAATTTGTGTTCTATGTAGTAACATGGTTATGAGGTTTATAAAGTGTTACCGATATGAACGTACCGATGATGAAAGTATAATGTATTTCTGGCGGATTGATGATCATGACAACATTTTCAAAATATTTATATACCGGGTGTTCGGAAGAAGATTAGAGAAAAACTTTATTTAAAGAACTTTAGAGGCTTATAGTACCCACCCAGTAGAATAAAAAATGTCTCACCAATATAATCCTAAAATCAATCCTTTCGGTGGATACTACAGATGTTCGATATGTCTTCCTATTATTTCAATACAAAACTCTTATTCTTTGTTTCCATACAAACTTGAATTAATGTACATATTAGTGGGTATAAAAGTATTCGCACACACCTTAAAACAGAATTTTTTAAAATTGCATCAAGTGACTTGAATTTTTTTGCGAAGATAGAAAGGTTAGTTTACTAAATGATATGTCAAAAAAATGTTGAAACACTTGCAATTGGTCAGAATCGCGAAGAAAATAGTAAAGGTCCATTTTTACAATTCTTTTTATCTGTAACTGTAATGAAAATTTAATGAATACATTTCGAAGATTGATGTTAGTTATATAAATGCTGAATCTTTCATTGAAATCTCTTGATACGGAAACGAGCGACACGCATGGGAAAACGATACAATCTATAGATCTTACACGAGTTGTAAGTCGAAAGTCGCGGAAAACTGCAATTTTCAACATTTTTAATCGTTTGCATCTCATAGCAACGTTAACCGGTTTCAATGAAATTTTCAGCACGCATACAACTAATTAGTTAGTTAGTTATGAACAGTACTCCCGGGAGAGGGGATTTCGGTATTCCCTCCAAGGCCTTAGCTCGGCTCATGCGCACTAGCTTTCGCAAAATCTCGTATATGGGACTAGGGTAGGTATTACCCAGGGAACTATTTAACCCCTGACACTTTCCATCCGTCCCAACTTTTTTAAACCCGGGTCACATGAAGAGGTACTTGTCAGGGATGCATACAACTAACAAACATCAAAGAAATGCATATTTTAAATTTTTATTAGAATCTCAGAAATAAAATTGTAAAAAGGACCTTTTTTTTATTTTCTTTGCTATTCCGATCAATTGCAACTTCTTCAAAAATTTGTGTACACATCATCTAGTAAACCAATCTTTCTAATTTCACAGAAAAAAAAATTAAAATCACTTGGTCCAATTTCGAAGAAGTTGTTCTGTTTTAAAGGGTCCGTGAATACTTCTTTTACCCACTATATTTTAAGACCAATTTTTGGTAATTATTCACAATAGGGAACTACACAGATTTGGATGACCTTGAAATATGTTGTCAAGGTCAACATTCTGAACAACTTTTGCCTATACATGTATCCGCCGCTCGGTCTTTGTTTCCGAGATATTTGCAAAAAGCTTCAGTTAAACGTAGGTTACGACGACTGCAGTTCATTCTAGCATAGACGGTCGCCTAACGGCACCCAACATCCCACCACACGAAGTCCAACGAAGAAACATTTTTCCAGTTTTTTTTACATATTAATTATTAACTAAATTTGTGTTCGGCGGAATGTCGGATGCGTGGTTAACACTCGGTGGTGGTGGTGGGATGTTCGGTGCGTGGTTAACAATGGGTGGTGTGTGGTGGAATTCCCGGCGCCCGGAAAATTATGTACGTTTATATTAAACGCCCACGCTTTTACTTCATAACCTATATATGTTCATAATGCATAGTTGTAAACATATTTTTGCGAATATCTCGAAAACTAAACGAGACCAACTATTATATGTTGTTACGAGGCCCATACTAACAATCCTAGTGGCTCCTTAAGATGAAATAAGCTCGGGTTCGTCCACGAAAATCTTTCCTAGTGGCTCCCTGTGATGAAATAGACACAGATTCGATGAGACAGTTTAAGAAAAAAGGTTCTGTTGCGATGTGATTATAGAAATTTGTGATTAGATAAGCCTTGGTCCCATGCTAACGCATACACTGCCATGGACGTATAGGTATTTGCAGAATTTATTGTAATAGTAGCAGCAGTTTTTCGCGAATATCTCGAAAATTAAAACTAAGCGACGGTTACATGTATAGGGAAAAGTTGTTCAGAATGTGGACATTGACAATATATTTCAAGGTCATCCAAATCGGTGAGGAGTCCCCTACTGTGAATGATTATCCAATTTTTTTGTTTCCATTCATTATGTTGCGAAAATACTTGCTTACGATATTGAACACTCGGAAATATAAAAGTCGATTTTATACAAAGGGGATTAATTTTGGAACTTACGTTGATTAGACACTTATTACTCCTCTCGGCGAGTGCTATAAACTCTTAAAGTCTCAGACCGTTCTATCTAACACCCTGTATGCCGACTGTCTCCGAAATCGTGGTAAAACCAGAAGGAAGGTGATTCCTCATATAATAATGACTTAACAATATAGAATAATAGTTTTCGTTTTCGAGAAAATCAACGTTGAAGATTCATTTAAAACACGTATACGTAGTATACGCCGTATACAATATTCGTGCTAGCAATACGTAGGAACAGAATGTAATGAACAGACATACTAGTCAAGCCCTGTTCAATCGCACATCGCACGCATATCCAGCAGGTTTTAAAATTTGAATATCTTGAAAAAGAAGCACAACACGGCAAAAATTTATTGCATATTTTCGACTTACTTTTACACAAGGAATCATCTTCTTTCCGGTTGTACCACAATTTCGGGAACACCCCATATACGCCAGCGATGAAAAAATCGTGCCACTATGAATTGCCCTTTCAATGATGAACAATACATTTTAAGGGGTTAACGGGGTTTCTCCATGAATTAATAAATACCGTTTCCAGTTACCAATAGCTTGTACTGACACGGGAACTCCTCTTTCTTACTTTTTATAATAACTTCTATTTACTGTGAGCTCGAGATATATGCATTGATACAAGAGAGTAATTTATAACATCAAAGTTAACCATAAGTGAGATATTTTTTCGACAATAATATTTCTTATTTGCTCGTTACAATAATACAGTGCGACTCTCGCGATTTCCGTAATGTGCGATTCTGTCCCCACTAGATCTCCGAAACTGTTTGAAATTGTACACACTCTCAGGTTGTCGAAAAATTAGTCACTATTAGACTTCCCAGATAGCATCGTACATCCAAAGGACGTCCGTTTCGTGTCCAGTTTATATTCGAATGTCCTACGTCCATTTTGAACATCCCTAGGATGTTCGTAAGACTTAAATTTCACATGTTCCAGGAATGTCCGTTCCTTAAGTCTTACGAATGCTCTTAAGGCTTAAATTTCGAATGTTCTGGAAATGTCCTTCTCGGAGGTCCTATGGATGTTCCCCAGGACTATGATCCCCATGAATAAGGTGTCATTCTACTAGTCATTCTCACTAGTGGTTTTGTACGGAAACGTCAGGAAATTTGAAAAAAACATTTTTTTTCTTAAACTGTCTCTAACCGACACCGAATCAGTATTAAGCTTTAAATAAGTGTTTATTTCTTCTTAAACTTTGTCTAACCAATACAGAATCAGTGTTTTGCCATCAGTGTATTTTCCTTTGAAAATAAAAATAAACGCAATGTACACACAGATCAAAACACCCAGACCTATATTCTCATTATAATTCCTTATTATTAAGCAGTTTAACCTCTTATTTATTAACAGGAATTAACTAGATTTAATTTCTACTCAGTGCAGAAATCGCAGGAAAGTTAATCTGTTATTTATTAAAGACAAACCAACCGAACCTAACTTCTATCACCTTGCGCAAAATGAAATCGAACTGTAATTTCAAACATTACCATAGCGTTTTTAAAAACTCGTCAAACGTTCCCGAAAAGTACAGAGAACATTACTTCAACACATTCGGAAAATGTTCTGAGAATGTTGATACAGGACGTTCCACTTTGTAAATAGGATCTTCCTAGGACATTTAAAGATCTTAACGAGGACGTAGGGGGACATGTCGACCTTTTCGGGACATCCTCTGAATGTAACGAACGTCCGGAACGTACGTTCTCCAGACGTACATACGACGTTTTTGTGCTATTTCGGTTCTCATCTCGGTACATAGGTCGGGAGGAGTAGACCATCCATTCATTGTTTTGTTTACTCACAAGGGAACCCTGGTGACCGATACACACCGATTTTGATGCAACTTTCTACAAATGTTCAATTAGACCTACCTAAAGATATGTACAGACACCGTGAGGCTGGCTTACGCGGCTGCCTCGCGAAATGAATACCTGCCTCGCAGCGAGCAATCTCAATGCAAGGCATGTATATGTATACTTCCCGAGGCACGCCTCGTGAAGCATGATAGCTTAAGAGAGAAATCAACACTTTTATCCGAGCCGGCCCGTCTTTCTAAGTGATTATAAATCTTAAACCACAAAAGATGTGAAAAAATAATTGTTTCATGATAATTAAATTCCCCCCTCTTCTTTTGTAAATTAATACGCTCAATTTTTACACATTATTAACTCACGTCATTTTTCGAATTCCTAGTAGACACGGTATTAAAATGCCTACAATATTGTTAAAGAAATACCAAAGATCCCTAAAATTTCTAATTAACCGAGCTAGAAATCTAATGTTCGGCACCTAGTGAAGTACACGTTCACCTCGTTGTCAACGCTAAACCTAAAGACTAGACGGAAAGTGTCGGTCGATAATCGCAGAATGAGCACAAGAACTCAATACATGTATACAATAGGACGTGAACTTACCCAGCATCTTGCTAAGATCGGCATTGTGAAGATCAGGATTCTCGTCGGCCAATTTCTTCCGCTCGACCTTTGCCCAGACCATGAACGCGTTCATCGGACGACGTATCCGTTGCTCCTTTAGGCTCCTCTGGGCTGTGCTGCCGGGATGACACATCTTCACTCCTGCGGGAATCGACGAAATTCCTTGTTGGTACTCGAGGGACGGACCGGACGCTAGCCATGACATGTCCTCCAGCCGCTGTTGAGCCGGACCGGTCAACATCCCCGGTATCTGAAGCGTTAACCAAAAACCAATCGACCAAGTGAATCGCCAATGGAAACGATCATCCCCGTCCGTTATTCCCTACCCCCGACTATTCTGTGTCGGGAAAAACGCCGTATGTCACATGGGTTCACATTCGAGACATTATCTTTTAAAGTTTTGTTTCTACGATACCGATGTAGGGGAAGGTTGCCCAATGTAGACCATTGCCTAGGTTACTACTGTAATTTGTCATGTGTAAGCAATTTGGACCTTATTGTAAACAATTTGTGTTGCTTATAGGTAATAGGTTGGGTAATATAATCACCACTATTATACATATATAGTCAAACATAAGGCCCATACCGCTAACACATGACAAGTTATAGTAGTGGTCCAAAACTAAACGACGATCCAAATTCGACAACATTCCCCTATATTTCATCTTACACAATATTCTTCTGTGCATTGCGTTTTTTTTTTTTTTTTTGTAAAATATGAGTTACATGTTCAAAATGAAAATATGGGACGATAAGTTCTTTCCATTTTACACGAAATAAGTTATAGTATCAGCAGGTTAATGGAAATAGAAAATACAAAGCGATCACAAAACAAAGACACAAGTATCGTCGTATTCACCAAACGGTGCGGCCGGGTTAGGATCACAGTGAAGTAAATCTATCTTATGTAAATATACATTTGTATTTTTTATATAATTTATACTTTTTTTCATTGTTTTTGGATTGTATGTAAAAATGTATGGTTCCGTTGTAATGGTACAGTAACAAATCTAACAATATAAATTCGTGAAAAAGAAATGAATAAAAAAGCTTAATTTCTTAAAAATACTACTGTACCTACGTATTATTTTCACTAACTAAAATGTTTAGAAACAATGGTATAAATCAATCTTAATTGATTAATACACTTCTAAATTGCATAGAATCCTTTTTTGTAGTTCAACTTTTACACATAGACATTTTTTAACAGTTTTCTGAACTTATAGACATGCCTTTACAACTTCAATAGGTATAAGGAGTTTTTTTAAAACAATAGACGCAAGACACTATTTTACGGAAAACAGCAAGAATGTGACATACACCACCATGATTCTCAACCCGCCAAATGTTATGGACTTATATACATTGTTTTACCTCATCCGTATGAATTGAATATTGGACTCCGGTTAAATTGCATTACTTTTTTTTTTTAACACACAAAATTTATCTTCATGAATATTTCCCCCATAAACACATAAATCCCTATATTCTACAGCTCAATCAATGCATAAACTCGAATTTTTTTTAAATTGTAACCTACGGCGTTTTCTTCTTACAGCCACAGAATTAAGCGCTTATTAGCCAAAACGGGGTGAAAGTCGCGCTCTATATCTGTGATTCCATTAACACGTAATTACCGGGAGATATTAATCGTGGCAGCTAATGAACGATAATCGAACCGAGCCCGCGGCAACAATGCTGTGAGTAAAAGGCGTTGGTTCCGAGGCCAGCCGACTCGTATTGTAACATGTATAATAAAATGAGTAATGCGCGTGCGATCGAAAGATATACGCGGAAATAATGCAAAAATGGCGGCCGTAATAACGACTTCGTGGGATTGATCGATCTACAGGGTTTACAGGAGATTTTATGGCTAGATGAGAGTGTTAATTGAAGAAATAGTGTTAAGGGGTTACATGTTATAAAAAATTTTGTGTATATGCAGAATTATTGTTTATTAAAAATTCAACATATACATCTTATTATATGTTATTTCCTTAGTAAATTCTGAAAAATTCAGCTACGCTTACGTTAAAGTAGCGGTCCGGGGTTCTCGAGGCGGATTCTTCCTGGAAACGCTACTTTAACGTGAGCCAATGGGCACGCAAGAGGCTCTCGTGGCAGTTCGGCCAATCCACCAATTGGATCAGAACTTTGGTTACGGATGACGAACGACATTGGGGTGCGTGCACGTGTGTGAGTAACACGTGTGAAGTGGGGTGTTCCTACTAGAGATGGCGTCAATGCTACTTGTGAATCACGTGTGATTTGATCACGTTCGTTCTCAATCACAGTGATTTGTCACTGTGGTTTGTGATCGTTTCTGATTGGTGGAGAACATAACAACAGTTCTTTGCACGTGTCACATCACCTCTATATTTAATATTAAAGACACGAAGACAAAAATATGAGTTAGATCGTATAAAATAAAGGAATAATGAAGAACAATGAAGAATAATGAATAAGTTAATGATTATAAATTCTAATCTATATGTAACATAACGTATACCTATGTTGTCTAATTATAGCAAATTATTCTTTTATAATTTCTTCCTTTTCTACTGATTTTTAAAAACACAAATAGTAGTGTAATTCACTTTGAGGTCATATTGAATATGTTTTTTTTTAAAGACCAAGAATCACGATCACAATGAGCAAATTCAATATAACGAAATCATGGCCACGGTCGTTAATGAAGTTCACGACAGTGATAGTGCCTCTGCGATCACTGTTATTAATCACTGTTACTGATTTTGTCACACCATCTCTAGTTCCTACCGTTACTTTAACGTGCGCTACTTTAACGTGAGTCTATTGCGACAACAGAACAAAACACCAGCTGCGGTACCAAATATATTTCTGTGGGCTTTTATCTGAAACAAGCTTTTTTTAGTCTTACATTAAAGTAGACTAATATTTATCGAAGTCGATTTTCAAAATATCAATATTTTATAGAATGGCGTTTGTTTGAACTTAAACTTGTAGTTTCCGACATAAATTTTCAACATGTTTTGTTTCTAAGATAAGAAAAACCGTAGGAATCAAAAATTCGCTTCTTCAAGTACTACTAGAGTTTAGTCTTAAGAATGTTACCAGCACAAAGTTTGATCCGAACTGGTTCAGTAGTCTTTTAAATATTTTTGGTACCGGTTTTGAAAACTGCCTGTCGAGAAAACGCTTTTAAATGACAGCCATTTTCTTCTGTTGATAGATATATAGCTCAATTTTTCCGAAATTACTAAGAAAATAACATATATAATAAGATGTACATGTTGAATTTTGTAATAAACAATAATTCTGTATATACAAACAAATTTTTTTATTTTCCCTCTTATTTAACAGCTCAAAGATATGTAACCCCTTAAAACAATTATTCGAATAATAACGAGACTGCGAATGTTTATCGAATGTTTTAGAATTCTTTATAGACTAATTTGCAAGAGGTGGATTCAAACAGAAAGTTTACTTGACTTATTATTCCATCAGGTTATACATAAGAGAAAAATCTTCTTAAACTTTACCAAACTCTTAACTATACTGATTTCTTGACCAAAATCCACAATTTAGTAATAGTTTATTGGTTCTGTAGAATTTACGATGGATTTTCTACAAATGAAACGACCACCAATTAGTATTATTACATGTCGATGTAACAGAGTGAATTCTTGTTAGAACCAAAATCAAAGCGCTTCAATTGGTTTTACCGTGAAATATACATATAATTGAAGTTGAGTTACCAGACATTAAATTTGAAAATGAGAGGAATAATCGTTACAAATAACGTAGCAAACATTTTCCATCCCTTTGGAGAAACTGTAAAGTCAGACCCACTCTGAGATGAACTGTAAATTCATTAATATAATTTAATTTATATGAATTCACTAAATGATAGTATTACAAAAATTTGTTTAATGGAATCAAAATTTCTACAGAAAATGCATATGTTATGAAAGAATCATTGTGTATTTCATTAAATTATTGTTAAATTAGAATTAAAATTATTATTTCTTTAGCCTTTTAGCGCGAAACCCATCGAAACTTTTGCACTGACCCAATATATATTTAAATTGTTCTGAAACGCTTTCAATATGTTTCTTCTTACACTTCTATTACATGTCGTATCAACTGTGGACATGGAGTACCTACTATACTGTGAACTTTATGCATTTATGACAGATATGAATTTGAATATTATCAATATACTGTGGATAACATCTTAACAGAACGCGTGAAAATATAAACTTCAAAATGTCTGTTTTCCTTCCAACCTAATAGAGAAAATAAATTTCCCATCCGTCTAATAAATCCAGAAATAACATTCTCAGTCGGCCTATCAGTACTAGAAAAAAAAGTAAATTACAAAAAAAAAAAAAACATAAACAAAGTCCAATGAGTATTTTCAGTAAAAAAAATAAGCAACAATCATAGTACATGTAAATTAGCGATACCTATAAAAGGAGGTTAAAATACCGAATTTATCTCGAACGTAGGAAATTCACGTTTCAACAATATACCCTGCCATCCTTTGTTTCGTGACGTCAACCTCGTTTCATACCCTTTCGTTTTACATAGTATCGCAGATGACAGCGAAGAACGTTGTAAAATACATAGTCGGAAACGTAGGTGTACAAATACAGATATGTATACGCGTCGCAGTTTCGAGCGGATGCAAATGATGTTTGCGCGTACAGAAGTATGCGAGGCCTATTTCAAGAACAATATTTCTCGCGGTCGAGGCGAGACACGCGAAACACGTACCGAAATGATTTGGGCATCGATGGGCATGGAACTGTCATTGCCATCGATATTCGACTCGATATCGTAGGCCCTCGACGTGGGTGTCGCATAAAGCGAGGAATGAAGTGCCAAGAGTCCAGGAGAACCGCCGTAACTGCTCACCGGCGGTGGTGTCACCTCACCCCTGTCATAATTATCCAGCATCCTATAAATTCGAAAACGATTTATTAATCATTAGTCCTTCATATCGTGTGTATATGTGCGTGCGGGCGCGCGCATGTCTGTGTTTTGTGCGTGTATGCGTGTGTGCGCGCGCGGTACGGTTAACGGTGAAATATGCTGCGCATCCGGTCGCGTTCGCGCGAGCAATAAAATCGCGCGGTGTATCGTTTCGCTCGAACGAATACGCACTCGCTTGTCGCGTGGATCACAATAAATTGTTTTTATTTCTCGAAACAAGCCTGGTGAGGATCTATTCGTTGGAATTACTTCTGCAAGCATGAGTGTCTCTTGACTTTTGTTTTCTTAAAGGAAAGCAACCAAGTATGGAATACCATTTCGTTTTTGCGAATGTCATTCTTAAAAAATCAATCGCGACAAATAAACGACTTTTACGGGTATTCAGTCATGCGGGGGTGTTCACGATATTACTAGCTAGCGGTTTTTACGCAAATAATGAGTATTAGAAAAAAATGAAAGGGGAATCGGTTTTACAGCTTTCCATGACTAATGTAATGGGTCGTATCAATTTTTTACGTTCGCAATATTTTCCGAGATACGCAGATGACATTTCATTTTTTAAACGGAATGCTGTACATATATATTTTTGTGTTGTCTGAAAGCGTATGACAAGGCGAATTCATTAATGGGTTATAGAATGTCCTTGAAAGTCATACAACGTCCGACATGAAAAAAAAAAATTGAATATTTCGTGCCAATATGTTTGCAGGTATTTCTTATTGATACGGCTTGTCTCGTTAAATGTGACTGATTTTATGCTTTCATTTACTATCATTGTATTTATTTCTGCAGCTACACCTCTTGATTTCTTTTTATCAGGCACTGTTAAAGATATCGTTCACGATACACCGCTCAGAGATGTAAACGATTTGTAAAGCAAAATAACGCAATCATGTGCATTAATATCTCGAACAACATTAGCAGAAGCTACCAAAAATGTACTTCATACAGCTGAAATGTATACCCATGCACAAGGAAGTCATATAGAACATCTACTGTAGCCTTGTCGATAAAGAATACTTGTAAACTGTAAACACATTAGTACAAAATATTCAAAATGTTTCTTTCAATTCTGAATTTGTATGATCTTGAAGGTCAATCTATAACACATTGATGAATTCGTGTTGATATACACTTTCATACGACATAAAAAAATATACAACATTTCATTTCAAAAATTAAAGGCCACGTTCGTTTCTCGGGAAAAATTGCAAACATACAAAATTGATAAATGTCATTATGTCGGTCATAGGAAGCTGCAAAACTTTTTCCTATCTCATTGTTTTCTGATACGATATATGTATTTGCGAGGGAAACGCTGGCTAGTAATGGCGTGAACACCTTGTATATTTACGCCCAATGTCAGAACAGTCTTATATTTCTATTATTACGAACATTTTCCATATTGATCTGAGATTAAGAAAACATAACAAGTGCACGTAATATGGAATAGGTACCCAAATATGGAATACTGATATAAGCTCCAGATTTTCATGGAGAAAAAAAAGTTTTATTCTTCCTATTGATTGAGGCATTTTGGTTATAAAATCACATTTTTTAATAAAAAAATATCCGAGTGTCAAACTCTGCACCAGTACATTCGTCGCATTCCATATTTGGAATTTCACAAAGTTGAAAATACAGTATCTTCGCAAATACTTACGAATGTCATAGGCAGGTCTGGGTACAAAAAATGAGCATGGTGAAATAATAACAAATACGAGAAATTACATGGAAAAGTTTTCAAACAACAAGAAAACAAAACGATTCTGCCTTGTCACCAACGTTCTCTCGATTGATAAGTCACAACGCGTATGTACAGTGCCAGTGATTGAGTGAGTGAGATAGCCTATACCCGTTTGACAGATACTAATTTGTCAAATTCTAAAAATGCCGCTATTCCATATTAGGTATACATACTCTTCCATATTTGATCACTTTCCTCTATCATTGTCCACCCATCTAAATCCATAATGTAGCTCGAAATTCGTGGTATATTTGAAAAATGGTTTGATGCTACAGTACAGCTTAAGAAGAATTCCGAAAATTGATCGAGTCTCAGCACTGATACTTGATTGTACTAAAAAATTGAAACTGTATTCGTTTGATCAGTTCTACCCACCCACAGTGGGCCAGATTGAAGAGCTCATTTGCCAAAAAATCGAATTCCTCATATCGATGTTAAACGAATGTATATTGCTTTCTAAATGTGTATCACATTCGAAAACGATGAAAGTAATGAGATATATTAAAATTTGTAGTTAAAAGAAGCATTTAAAGATCAAACTTTTATAGATACCATTTTTCACCGAAAAAATTACTTTTCTTCGTAGTGATGCCCTGGAAAACCTATTAAACATTATGTGTTCGTTTTTTTTTATGGATAGTACATGTCCTATATTAAGAATGCACCTGGATTAAAAAGTTATTGTTCATAATTTGTTCAAAAAAATAATACTCAGTAAAGAAAATCGTCGATTTTTGTTACCTTTGACAAAGATTATCTTAAAAGTTTTAAAGAGTAATGCGTTCTTTCAAAGTGGAATATTTTCAGGCGTTATTTCTCTATAAAATCATGCAAGATTCAATTCCCCCCTCGTCCCACCCCATAAGTTATTATTCTTTAAAGCGTTGCGTGACACGCACTTCAGCGGCGAGTCGCGTTGTACGAGACGCATTGCAGACCACACTTACACAGATTGAGGTTAAAAGAAGACCTGCAAGACGATGATGGTTCATTATAGATAATAAATTTTAGATAAATCAATTAATACATTGTAAATCTCTAGTAAAAAGTTTATTATCTTTGTTAATAAGAATAATTGCATAGATTTTTGTTTATTAATAGACGAATAGTAAATAAAAGTTTATTAATAAAGAATAATAAAAATGTCAATGCTTTTTTTCTTTATAAGCTGAAAATCCGTATGGTTAATTTATTATATTCACTAATTCGTTAAAATATAACACTTATTCTTGTTTAAATATTTTTAATTTTTTCATGAAGAAAATAATCACACATTCTTCTTATCTGATTAAATGTAATAAAATTCATTGATTCAAGAATTATGGATTACTCTATTTGTTTGAAAATCCTGACTAGCTAGTTTTCAATTATAATTCATTATTCACACGGCATCACGATTTTTCAGGCATTTCTGAAACTCTGACAAAAAAATGTTTCAAACAAAGATTAATCAGCATTTCCTGTTCTACAAATTCCAATATAAAAAATTAAAAAAAAAAATTTTGTTTCTAATAAAATTTAAAGTCACCTTACTTTTTTTATGGTCACTGTATATTTTTTACTTAATAATATTATATCTGACGTCAAGACGAATTCAACGACCTATATATTATTGTCCTTAAGTCTTGAAATAACGTTAAAACAGTTGTGAACAGCTAATTCGTCGATCTGACCCATTGTGCCACCCCTCGAATACAATAAATTTCATTTCAAAACACTTTTTAATAAAATCTATGGATAACGAGTCATTTCAGATGGTAATTTTTATTGACTCACCCTGTATAATATTTGAGTAAATTACGTGGAAAACTGAAAGTTTGATTTCAAAATTAATTCAATGGTCAAATAGCACAATGTGATATGTCCAGTCTTCGTCAAGATTGAGATATACAGCTTTATTTGAATTTATTTAAGAAACAACATGAACGAGTTGACTAAAGTTAAATTAAGAACCACTTTTTACAACCACTGGTATAAAATTGTATTGTTAAAAAGATTCTAATTTTTACAGCTGAACAAACCTTAAAATTGGTATACTGCAGAATTAAGAAAACCGCACGTGTATTACTTATGTGTATTACGTGTCGCCATCTAACCACAGAATTATCACAAAGGAATGTTAAAAGTACAGATAATGAGAATAGATAAATAGGAATTGCATGAAATAATTAATAGCTATTTCGAAAGTATGCGAAAGAATGTGTGAGTCATTGTATTTCTTGTTAGGAAAAATCATCAACTCATCTTCAAAATACAATACAGTGGACTCTAACTATATTGCCACTAAACATATTGCCACACGAGGCGCTTCCCCTTGACACGTACTTTCGAGCACACAAATTCGCTCTCCCACCACGTTGCGTACGCCAGCGCACCAGCACGATACAGCTTTTGCGCAAGCGCTGACACCGAAGCTATGACGATAGAACTTAGCATGGAGGGGGCTCTGAACTCATTCCCATTTTACTCCCCTACAGCCCCGACCATGGCAATATAGTTAGAGTCCACTGTACATACAACTGTACTTTACAAATTCTTAAATCATACTCGATTAGTACTTAGATCAAACCGAAACCAATTTCGTTTTCAAAGTTACATGTAACTGTACGAACCAATACCTAAATTAACTTTAATCGAACCGTTCGAAAAAGTTCTACTCTTAAGAGTCTGAAAACTTATTCTGATCGTTATACTTTTACTTACGAAATACACTGACAGTTTGTATTAATTTTTAAACAAATTTGCTCCGCTTATCATCTATACACATAGCTGTTATTTTCAGAAAATCCATTTTACTTTGCGGTATTCTGTACAACACAATAATGTACAACATTCACTTATTCAGATGATATAGGTTATCCTTGGGAATAGGTGGGCCATGCTGTAGGAATACATTCTAGTAATCTTTGGAATAAGAAAATGATTATACATCGGAAATGCTACCTTTGCTAGTTATAAGGTTTTCTTGTCCTCTATAGAATTTTATATGATTGGCTAACAAGATTAGAGATACAAGTTACTGTTATCATTTTCTTCGTGTTAGCAGTAAACAACAGTAGTTGTCCCGATCAGATAAGTTAACCCAACATTGTATTAGACGTGCAGCAGTGGACCTGTCGAGTGCAGTGATGCGTAAATTGTCAGCCTGTACTTTATAGTTTTCCCAAGTTGAGACTATCTTTATTAAGATATTAATCTTTTGACAGACAAATATTTCT